CAACGTCTGTCAGGCCAGTTAAAGCCTCCTGGGCCATTCCATATTGATAAAATTGTTCTTTAATACTTGAATTATAGTCATTATACCATCAAAACTATCTACGGGCAGTTTTGAATCCGTCGCGAAGTGATGAAACTGAGTAACTGACCATGGCAGCGGCTTTGTCTGTGGCTAATTATAGCCTCCTGGAGACAAATTCTTGATTTCTGATATTTGTACGTTTATCGACCAAATATTAAAAATCTAACCCAAACACCATTTATAACTAGGTATTACCTTAATTTGAGCAAAATATGAACGAAATCTATTTTTCGTGTATTGCCGCAGAATTCAAATTTTGCTCGATTCTTACGGACAGTCGCTCTTAAGACACAAAGGAACAAAGTCAACAAAATTATAAAAGAATCTAAATCTGAATACTTTCGAAATAAAATAGTAACTACTAAGAACAATCCAAGAGAAATGTGGTGCTGTATAAATCAGTTGATTGGGAAAAGATAAAAAACAACCGATATACTAAATATAGATCATAACGGTGTACTTATTCATGATCTGGAAGAAATTACCAATTTATTTAATGAATATTTTTGCTGAGATCGGAGAGAAACTATCAGGAGAAATTCCTTCTACAAATGTAAAATATACCGACTACATAAAGCACAACGAGTGTACATTTGACTTTGTAGAAATTACTGACGATGAAATACTAACTGAATTAAAAAAATTAAAAGCCAACAAAGGTTTTAGACCAGACAATATATCTCCAAAATTTCTCAAAGATTCTAGTTATGTAATTTCTTCAACACTGACGAGTATTTTTAATCAGTCTCTTAGAATGGAAAAATTTCGTGAAGAATGGGCACTCGCTTGAGTTTCTCCAATCTTTAAGGCAGGATTAAAGACTGAACTTGGCAACTATAGACCGATATCTGTTCTCTCAGCTGTATCTAAAGTATTCGAGAAAATAATATATAAACAAATCAGTAAATATTTCGATGACAATGAATTATTTACAAAATATCAATCAGGATTTAAGAAAGGTTATTCCACATCGACAGCACTGTTAGGTGTTACAAATGAATGGTTATGTAACATTGACAAAGGCCTAATAAATGGTGTATTATTTCTTGACTTAAAAAACATAAGGCGTTCGATCCTGTAAATCATGATATTATTATTGAGAAATTAAAACTTTATGGCTTTCAAAAGCAATTTCTGTCATGGTTTGAATCCTACTTAAAAGATAGGAAACACACAACAATGGAAACTCCGAAGAAATTCATATTTTTAATTCAACGTTTCGACTACTGTTGAGTCATCATCAGGCATTATGAAAGCTACTAAAATTTTGCAAGTTATAAGTACAGGTGTGTTATAAGATGATCTAATCTGTCAACAAGTTCTAATTAAAAGAAAAGAATTAAAGATAACAGTTTTGTAAAATTAATCAAAGTCAGTCATCAATCAGGAACGTTAGATGTGGGATACCTCAAGTATCAAATCTTGGCCCACTCTTATTTCTGATTTATATTAATGAATTGCCAAACTGTCTTGATGGATCTATTCCAAGCATTTTTGCTGATGATACAAATATTTCCGTGAATGCTACTAATGTTGATCAAATTAGTGTGGAATTAAATACCGAAATTCAAAAAATACATGCATGGTTTAACGGCAAATAAATTAACACTAAATGCAACTAAAACTGAATTCATGATAATAGGATCCAAGCACAATCTTACTAAAGTTCAAACGGATCCAATTATTACAATTGGAAACAATAATATAAAACGTGTTTACAAAACAAAATTTTAGTCTGGGAATCATTATAGATGACAAGCTAAACTGGAAAGAGAATATACATAGCATCTGTAAGAAAACTTCGAAGGGTATAGGAATGCTACGATTTTCCAAGTCTTTTGTTTCCCGAAATACTTTGAAAATGATTTATAATGCACTTATTTTACCTCATGTTGACTACTGCTCCCTTGTTTGGAGTAATTGTTCAGAAACATTAAAATTAAATTTACAAAAACTCCAAAACAGGGCGGCAAGGGTTATCACAGGTGATAATTATGATGTTCGATCAAAACAAATATTACTTAAGTTAGGATGCAAAACACTGAAGGAAACGCGGCAAAATCGCATGAAAAAATGTATGAGTAATGTTATGAATGATAATGGTCCGGAGATAATACTTTAGGTTGCCTTTTTGAAAAGTGCAACAATTCTAATTATAAATTAAGAAATAATGGCAAATTTCTAAGACTGTCAAAACCAAATACAAACTCTATGAAGAGAAGTTTTAGTTATATGGGAGCTAAGACCTGGAATCAGCATCTAAGAGTGTAAATATTATAATTCTATTCTTTTACTTGTAAATATTACACGGTCAATATGAATTGATAGGTTACCATGTATAAATATAATTAAATACAATACAAATACAAATTTCGCGCGGAAAAAATCGGTCGCGCGACATTTTGCACTGAATGGAAATCCGCATTTATGCAATAGAAGAAAAAGGCAAGGAGGTAGCCAACGTGTTACCGTCACGGACCTTGTTGACGGGTCTAGCACAACGGTGCAAAATCGTGTTCAGTGCAAAGAGAACTCTACCAGATCTAACGAGAATTTATCTATATCAAAGCTTATCAAAACTGCTGTTACTGTGAAACTATTGAAATGTAAATGGACATTAAATACAAGCAAAAACGTGAAAGCGACTCATGAAACACAACTACTGCATTACCAAAATGCAACAACACATGCAAATATAGTAAAAGAATTGTTACCTTTGCGATCTACTCGTCCATATAATAATTTTAGTCGAAGTAGATCACACAGTAAACATTTAACTGCACGTGTCAAAAGCCGAGATCAAGAGCCGTTTAGAATTCCCGTTAAAAAGTTAGTTTATTTGATGAGCAAAAATGGAAAAAGCAGCAAGGCGTGTAATAAAGCGGTTTATTAAGCAGTCTCTTCCTAAATAATCTTGTTTTCACAATTTGCTCTCCACAAGATACCGAAAAGATGTAATTCAGCAATAAACAAATGCATATATGTGGAAGTTTAGGAAGACGTTTCATGCTAAGAGAATGTCTAAGAGAACACGAAGAGTTGTACATAAACAATTGTCAATGTCAACGCTCAACTTGGCAAGTCTGAAAAACAGTAGAGAGCGTGCTAGAACAAGAAAACATAAATTGTTTAAGTCAAACAGCGTTAAATTTCAAGTTGTCGGCACTACTAGTAAATGTAATATTCAAAAAATAAAGACATCTGAAAGAAATTTCTTAATTATGTCTGGTTATGTAGAGTTAAACCCAGCTCCCGTAAATATTTCAAATATTTCAGTGTTGACCACAAGACTAGCTCGAATAGGACGAGAGCCAGTGAACATTGTCGGTGATGGTAACTGTTTATTTCGTAGTGTAAGTCATCAGCTTTACAGAACAGAAAGTCGTCATGCCCAAATAAGAGCTCTTGCAATCCAACATTTAATAAATTGCCCAGAACATTTCATAGAGTCTAATACTGAACAATCATGGCCGCTTTATTTACAGAATATGTCACGGCTAGGCTCATGGGTAGACCATATTATCATACAGGCAGTTGCGAATGCAAATAATTTAAGAATTCACATCACAGAAAGTGCACAAAATTTTACTGAATCTACAGTTATAACCCCTATTTATGCTCAGGGAAATGTAAGAGATATGTATATCGGACATCTTGACGAGTTGCATTATGTTTCTACAACGCCAGTTGAACAGTTTGCTTCTGAACAAATAGGAAATCAGATAGCAACTAATATAAACAGAAACCAAACCCACAAAATTCACAATCTAATAGTAACAAAAGTATCTCGGACTGTCTCAATGAAATATTTTCAAAAAAGAAAAGAATACATGAAGGAATATATGAAAAAAAGAAAATCGAACAACGAATTTAAAAAAAAGAAAGCGAGAGAAGAAAGTCATATAATAGAAATATAAAAACTCGAATTCTGAGAAAATTAAGCAATCTTGGCCAAAAGCCACTGCAACATACAGACAATCAAATCCTGAAAAAGTAAAAGAGAGTTTTAAGACAGCCACTGCAACATACAGACAATCAAATCCTGAAAAAGTAAAAGAGAATTTTAAGGCAGCCGCTGCAACATACAGACAATCGAATCCTGAAAACGTCAAAGAATCAAATCAAACAGCCACTGCAACATACAGACAATGAAATCCTGAAAAAGAAAAAGAGAGTTTTAAGACAGCCACTGTAACATACAGACAATCAAATCCTGAAAAAGTAAAAGAGAATTGTAAGGCAGCCATTGCAACATACAGGCAATCGAATCCTGAAAAGGTCAAAGAATCGAATCAAACAGCAACTGCAACATACAGACAATCAAATCCTGAGAAAGTAAAAGAGAGTTTTAAGACAGCCACTGCGACATACAGACAATCAAATGCTGAAAAAGTAAAAGAGAATTTTAAGGCAGCCACTGCAACATACAGACAATCAAATCCTGAAAAGGTCAAAGAATCGAATAAAACAGCCACTGCAACATACAGACAATCAAATCCTGAAATGGTCCAAGAATCGAATAAAACAGCCACTGTAACATACAGAAAATTAAATCTTAAAAAGGTTGCGGAATTGTCAAAATTGTCAAGTATTACGTACCAGCAGAGCTATTTGGAAAGAGTTAAAGATACTCAAAAAAGGCAATATATTAAAAGAAAGTTAGATTGTAGTGAAAATGGAACAAAAATGATTAAATACAAGAAGGTAGAAGATAATCCGAATGGCAATTCATGTGAAGCTGGGCAGATACCTGGTAACACTGACGATTCGAGACAACAAATCGACGTAACAAAGGCAACTGAGTTACTTCATAAGAACATTAGTGTTGGACCAGAATATATTTGCACCTGTTGTGACCAATTATGGTATAGATCATCTGTTACTGAGCGCAATGTTTCTTATGTAAATCTTGTTCAAACGAAATCCTTCACTTATGTCTTAATGGTCTAAAGAGCATTGATAACACTGAATGGATATGTAGTACATGTCACTAAAACTTAAAAGTTAAACAAAATGACTTTCCCAGAAAAGCCCGAGGGCTTAAAAAATTTAATTCCTCTTGAAGAAAGACTGATTTCGCCCAGAATACCTTTTGTGTAGGTACGGGAATTGCTTGGTGGAGGTCAATTAAGTATTCATGGGAATGTAGTTAATGTTCCTGCTGATGTTAGCACAACCGTTATTTATTTATTTTATTTATTTACTTAGCTTCGCCTATAATTACACAATCAAACAACACGTACACCCAACCATTTCTGTCCAATCCCAAAACGCGAAAACTTCAACGTTAGTGTTTTATCAAGACAATTAACGAGTCACAAATTATTCCAATAAAATTGAAACGACGGCTCGGTTGTAAACACCATTATCAATTTCAGAACGTTAGACCTACGAAAGGATTAAAGCCCTGATCAAACGAGAACGCAAGTCATCGCAAATTTTAACTTGCACTTGCTTGCGTCTCGTTTGACCACCAACTCGCGATGACTTGTGAATGATTTGAGCTGGTTCAAACTTCATCGCAAGCTTTTTTAAACTTGCGAGCACTTGCGATACGTTTGATCAGGAAGTGCAAGTTCAAGCGAGTTTTTTTAGACAGTTTACATGGAAACCATAGTTTCTAGTCCCCTGCTCTCTCACGACGTCATAAAAATTACCTTTTTCTGGTCTTCGCTTAATCCATTCTCTTGTTTTTCCACATTTCCAAGCCTGAGACGTTTCGTCTTCAAGTAGAAAAATGTAGAATGATGTGACCGCTTTTCGCTTCATGTTACATGGCATTTTCAAAAGTTTTTACATTCGTTTTAAATGGTTTTAAGTGACGGCCATGTTTTGTTTACATTTTTGCGATTTTTCGCAAATTTACAAAATTGCCGCACACGAGGCAAATATTGCAAATTGTTGCGATAAATTGCGTATCGTTTGATCGGTCGCATCGCAATTCAGGGTAAGTTTACTTGCGATGACTTGCGTTTTCGATTGATCAGGGCTTTATACGCAGCTCAATACTTGGTTCGCACTAGTGAAATATTCACGAACGAATGAATACAAGTAATGAATAATTATGTGTCAAATCCAGTCAATAAGGACGATGAGTGGTCAGAATTTATCACCAAGAACACTAAGGAAACTTCAGATAATCTGTCAAACGATTTGAGCACTCAAAATCAAGACACAGTGGAGACACGAGTAAGTATCGATTCCGTTGACAATGACACTGACGATGAGTGGTGTGAAGTAACTGAACGGCCATCAGGTGTTATGGATATATTATTACAACAACCTGATATTACTCAAGATGGTGATAAAATAATCAGTTTTGCACCAGGAGAAGGAAATAGACCGCTTGGTATATTTGTAGATAAAGATGCTGAATTTCTGTCTTTCCCTACTATTTACTGTGACAAACGTCAAGCTGATAACAGTGAAAGACTTGTGCCTGTTCACTATAGTACAATTTGTAAATGGTAATTACGAAGTCAAGATCGACGAGTTGCTCAGTCTGTGCCAAACATTTTTTACAAATTAAAAAAATTACAGATCAAACAAATTGAAGGAAGTGCAAGTTTATCATTGCGTAAATGTAAAACCAAAGGTAAAACTTACACAGCAGGAGATTTGAAGTCTGAAAGTTCTGTTAATAAGCTTATCAATTTAGATGAAGGATTCATAGTTTTAAGAAATATACGCGGTTCCCCTCCATACTTTGAAAGATGTAAGAAGGATCTATTTGCAATGATTCATCAGCTTGGTAAACCTACATGGTTCTGTTCATTTTCAGCTGCTGAAACGAGTTGGATTCATTTGATTAAAATTCTTGGTCGTCTTATTGACAACAAACATTATACTGACGATGAGGTTAAGCAAATGACTTGGCAAAAGAAGTCTGAACTGATACAGAAAGATCCAGTAACATGTGCACGAAATTTTGAACATATGGTGCAACTCTTTATTCACAATTTTATTAAAAGTTCATGTCATCCAATTGGAGAAGTTTTCTACTTTTTCTATATCGTGTTGAATTCCAACAAAGAGGTTCTCCACATATCCATGGATTATTCTGGATCAAAAATACACGCGAGTATGGTAAAGATTCTGATGAAGATATTGCCAAGTTGTCGATAGCTACGTTTCATGTAAAGCTGACTCAGACGATGTAACTGAACCCGTAAATTTACAAAGGCATCAACATTCTAAAACATGCAAGAAAAGAGGAAATGCTGTTTGCGATTTAATTTTACTTTACGACCAATGCCGATAACTATGATTTTAGAGCCTTTGTCTGAAACTGATCTAGACGAAAATATTGCAGACATATTAAAGAAAGCTTTGGGACCGATACGTTCATTATTAGACTCTATTAAAGCTGATTAAAACATGACCTTTGACGAATTTCTCGAAAAGTTAGATTTATCAGAACACCAATATCTAAAGGCTATACGGCTTTCTCTTAAACATAGCACTTTGTTATTGAAACGATCGCCAGCTGAGATTAGAATCAACTGTTACAATCCAAACTTACTCAGAGCTTGGAAAGCTAACATGGATATTCATACGTATTAGATCCTTATGCTTATGCTGTTTATATCCTTTCATATATTACTAAAGGTCAAAGAGGAATGAGCAATTAACTTCGTAAGGCATGCGAAGAAGCAGAAGAAGGCAATAAGAATATTGTTAACAAGGTGAGACATAGTGGTAACAAATTTCTCAATGCTCTTGAAATAAGTGCGCAGGAGGCTGTCTACTTTGTAATGCAAATGCCTTTGACACGCTCGTCTCGAGAATTTCAATTTATCAATACATCTGACCCAGGTAAAAGAACATTCTTATTAAAAAGCATGGATAAAATTAAAGAACTTCCTGATCATTCTGTTGATATTGAATCAGATAACATTATTAAAAGATATCAGAGAAGACCAAAGGAATTAGAAAATTTATGTCTGGCCGATTTTGTGGCTTGGTTCAACTGCAAAAATGACAGTAATCAAAAAAGCAAACTTAAATCAAATTCATCATTAATAGATGATTATCGTAAAGAGAGTAATTTCGATGATAATGTAGATGATGATCTTTCTGATGAAGAACAGAAAATATGTGAAAATGGTGAATATTAAATGAGTAGAATGACGGTGTAATGACGCTGGTGAAGATACAAAAGCCAAGAATAATACGGTCAGTTAGATTTAATAGAAACAAAGATCCAGAAAATTATTGTAGAGAACAGATAATGCTTTACACTGCTTGAAGAAATGATAATACGGATCTTTTGAAAGACTTCCAAACTTACCAGGATCGATATGAAATTATCAAAGATGTGATGGAACAAAACAGAAGATAATACGAGAATCGCACCAAAGTTCTTGATCAGGCAGTACAAGATATTGAAAGCGAAGAAAATCTAGTTGCTTCGAATACGCAGCATAGAGATGAACAAGACAGAGAAATTGGGCCAAAAGCAAGTGAATTATTCGGATGCTTCGATCCTGGAAAAGATAAACAACATGCCCAATACGACCTGATAAATGATATCGGTATATATCCACGAACGAATGATGATGAATAACTAGTTATAAAAAGCCTGAATGATGCCGATTATAGAAAACTTGTCCAATCACTTAATGTTGAACAAAAAGAGTTTTTTTACCGTGTACTGAACACTGTCAAGACTGATAAGCTGCCAATGAGACTGTTTTAAAGCGGAGGTGCTGATGTAGGTAAAAGTACTGTTATTAATGCTTTGTATGAAGCTCTCATAAGATACTTAAATTCTCAACCTCAGAATGATCCTGATAATGTCAGTGTTGTAAAAGTAGCCCCAACAGGCAAAGCTGCTATCAACATAAGAAGAAATACACTTCACTCAGCCTTTAAAATTCCTGCAAACACAGGATTTAATTATTGTACACTAGATAGAGACAGATTGAATACAATAAGATCTCAGTTACAGAGAATGCAAGTTATTTTTACTGACGAAATATCTATGGTAGGTAGTGCTATTTTTAATTTGCTTGACTTACGATTGCAACAAATCATGGGTACAAAAGAACAATTTGGCGCTCTTAGCATAATAACCGTTGGCGACTTATTTCAACTGAAATAATTGGATATTTGAGAATTCAAAGGATGATTATGCTGCATTAGCAACAAATCCCTGGCAACAATATTTTCAAATGTTTGAATTATCAGAGGTTATGAGACAAAGTGAAGACAAAGAGTTGGCTGAAATTGTAAATCGTATCAGAGAAGGAAATCATACTGAAGATGACATGGAACTTTTGAAAGAAAGAATTTTAAACATTAGTCCACAACATCCTGATTATCCAATATCTTGAATCCATTTATTCAGTACTAATATGGCAGTTGATCAACATAATCATGACGTTTTCCAGAAATCTTCAAACGAGAAGTTCGACATTAAAGCAATAGACATTGTACTTGGAGATTTATCTGACGACTTAAAAGAAAGACTCAAATCCCAAACGATCCTTCGAAAACCATGGACTTGTACTCAGTATGTTCAATACTTAAGGAAGCAAAGTATCACCTCACGATAAAAACATGTCAGTTTTAGATTGTATGACTAATGGTGCGGAATGTCTAATCAAGAAAATCGATTACCGAGTAGAAGGTTCATCAAGAGCAAGTATTATCCGGGTTTTATTTCAAGAACAACATACTGGGAATGATTATCGCAGAGAATACTCTTATCTTTACAATCAAGTACAGAAAAAATGTGGTTTCCAATTCTTGAGGTGAAAAGACAGCTTACAAAAAATAAAATACAAGTTCTTCGCAGACAGTGTCCTTTAACACCATCTGCAGCCAAAACTATTCACCGTTGTCAAGGAAATACATCAAATGAAGCCGTTGTTCACCTCCCATCGCTAAACCGAGAGCACATGCATTACGTTGCTATTAGCAGACTTAGAAGCATTTTGGGATTACATAATAATAATAATAATGGAAACTTTATTGAAATTATATACGTATATATACAATTATAAATCTCACTAATTTAGTTAATTTATAATTGACTACTTGAACCTACTTAATATTTATATATTAATAATGAGTATCCTTAAATGTTCAGTAATTCCGGATTTAACCAGTCCTTATCTCTGCAACAAAATATATAATATGTTGTCCTAATCGCGATAGACATAATTTTCCTGATAGCGAAATATTGGTGTCTTTTATCAAGACCTAGAAATAATAATAATAATAATAATAATAATAATAATAATAATAATAATAATAATAATAATAACAGTAATAATAATAATAATAATAATAATATTTTTTTTAATAATAATAATAATTTTAATACAATTGTGTATACATTCAATTTACAACGAAGGTTAAAAAATACTACTGATAGGAATTAGTGTTTTATATTCTGTTCATTAAGTAACGTCTATCTGAAATTATTGTCCTAATACCTACACTAATTAACTTTATATATTAATAGTAATATAAAGGTTGCTAAAATCATTAAAAAATCATTAAATACATGCAATAAAAAAAGTTTGTTACTAAAATCATTAGTAATGTCCAATAAATAAGGTCCAAAAATGATCAAATTAACGGATCCTTGCCGATATTGTCTTTATTTCAATATCAATGTCCCATGGGTTACAATGTACTCTTCTTAACATTCTTGATAATAATAATAATAATAATAATAATAATAATAATAATAATAATAATAATAATAATAATAATAATAATAATAATAATAATAATAATAATAATAATAATAATAATGGAAACTTTATTACTTTCAATAATATATATACACACTACAATGATAAACCTCTCTTTACAGGTAGTTTACCAGTGTCTACTTGAATTAACACTCTACATAATAACAATATTAGTATGACATTAGTTGTGGGTTATCCCATTCTTTGTTACGCTTACAGAATATATAATACGAGGACCTGATACATATATTTATAATTTTCCGAACATAGTACTTTCTACATTGTTCATCAAACTTTAGATCTTTCAGCATTTCGGTGAAATCTAGCGACGGGTGGCTGAAAACTCCTAATGAGCTAATCGATAAATTTACAAATTTCACTTTTTCATAATTTTTGAGCTGTTCGTTAATTAGATCTTGATATTTTTGTCTTTTTCGAGTTGCATTAGTGAGGAGATTAGATTCAAATCCGACGGTAAGTTCAAGTATATAAATACATTTGTTTTCAAGTGTTATCAAAAGATCAGGGCGCAATTCATCTCCGGTGATAACAGATGGACTGATATAGCCAGGAAGGTCAGCATAAAGGTTACAATGGTTCACAGATTTAAGTATGGATGCTATGAAGTTAAGCACCGAATCATGACGCCACGTGAAACGTCCTTCATTTAGGTAGGTCTTGCATCCAGCGACGACGTGAAGAAGTGATTCTGGATTCAAACAAAACGAACATTCGGATGTTGGTGATATTCCCCATTTCAGAAGGTTTTTGCGAGTCGGAAGAGTGTTATTTATATACCGGATAGTGAAGTTAAATATATTCTTGGGAAGTTTACTCTGAACGGAGGACCATATAGAGTTGAATGAGAGTGTAGAATGTTTAATGATATTGGAGAAAAATGAGCCTTGTGAAATGAGGTGGTGTTGAAGCTTGTCTTCATGTTGTTTCCTGATGGTGTTTAATACGTCCTTGGTGTTTTTGTATTTGTCATATTGTACATTTTTGTGATTGCTAGTATCCTTCCAAAGGTTATTGATTGCTTCATTTGGCGACGACTTTAGGGCTTTCCGAGAAACAGTTTGGCATTGAAGGAATTTGGTTGAAGGTAGAATGATATTTAATCCAAATTTATTGTGGGGAAGTAGGACGTTACTAAGGGTTGCAGAAATAGGAAGTTCAAGCCATTTTCGGATATACGTGGACGCGACACTATCTAGTTTATCGTTAACCCAGGTTTTGCCTATGTCAGAAACAGTGAAGTGCCAAGAGATTTTGGAAAGCACATAACGACTGTATAAGAGAATTTTGTTTTTCGGATGTAATGGTAGATCATCAATTTCATTCAGGATATTAGTAAGTGTGTCATATACTTCAGATTTGTGATCTTCGTCCGACATGTTGAAATCAAAATAGCGACCTAAGTAGCGAAACGATTTACCAAGTTCAACACGTGGTACAAGACAGTTATTTATAAATAGTTTTGGGAGATATTGAATGGATTTGGTTACTTGTTTCCTAATGCCAAATGTTGAACATTTGTCTACACGTATTATCATTTGAGCCCACTGACACCAGATTGTAAAGCGATTAAGGAGCATTTGGTTTTCTTTTTCTTGGCCGCTAACAACAGCCGCGTCGTCGGCAAACTGGAACCAATGAAGAGGATTTAATGGGGTACCGTTTTCACTGGATTTCCAAAATCCAAGTTGACGGTATTTTTCCGATTTAATATGTTGGATAAAGGTATTGAAAGACATGTTGAATAAAAGAGGACTGAGACAATCGCCTTGAAGGACGTCACGACCGACTGTAATGAAGGAAGTATTGAACTGTTCAGTTATTATGGAAGTTTGGAAATCAGTATAAAGGCTACTGACAAGATTCTTTATGTGATCGGGAATGTGGTGATATTGAAGGACTTCATAAATAAGGTTATGGTGGACTTCGCCGAATGCATTTTTGAGATCTAATAGTGTTATGATAAGTGATCGTTGTTTTACACGCGCTTTATTAATGATATGTGCCAACTGTGCTGTGTGTTCTAGTGTTCCTGAGAGTTTTGGAGTGAAACCTTTCTGTATGTTCTGTTCAATGTAATTGTTTTCTGCAAGAAACTGAAATGTCCTGTTGCGAAGACATGATGTGAAAACTTTGAGTGGGACAGATTCGAGAGTAATGGGTCAAAAGTTCGCTGGGTTTGCTGTTTCTCCTTTCTTATGAATTAGAATCGTGCATGCTTTCTTCCATTCAGACGGGACAACACCGCAAGACCAGGCTGCGTGGATTATCTCAGTTAAGTACGAGCGCAAATAAGGACAGCGTTTAAAACAGATGATAGATATTTGATCAAGTGGACATGGTGAGCCAGACGGTTTCATTTTACGGATGACATTTGTAATCTCTTGATAGGTCGGGGGGTCAAGATTAAAAGGCGTCTGGGGAGATGCAAATTTTGGGATCCAACTGGGGATGTTGAATGTTTTAGTTGGGCTAATCGCGGACAATGTTTTGGTAAAATATGATGTACATTCTGCTAGGTTAAATGATGGAAATGAGCTAGTATTCTTTTTGAAAAATCGTTTAACGAAACCCCAGAAACTTTTACCAATCAGACTGTCGTGATCAATATTTGCAGACGCATGACTATCAGTGTTATTTGGGTCCGTAGTATTAGACTTATTAAGAAGGTTGCGCAGTTTCTTTGCGACAAACTTGATCTCCAAGATATCTCCGTTTTCTAATTTTAATTTCTTTAATGATTTTTTCAAATCTTTAGTTGAAAAGCTTTCATATTTTCTTTGGTATTGAACATCATTATGATTGTTGACATATCCAAAATTCTCGCTGAAATAGTTATAGACGACTGTTGCCATGGTGTTAATGTTATTATTTAAATCCCGCGGTGTGATTGGAAGATTTGAAAATGTTAGTTTGAAAAAGTCGTTAGCAGTTGACCATTGTAATGGCGATTTGGGTAGATTTGAAAATGTTAGTTTGAAAAAGTCGTTAGCAGTTGACCATTGTAATGGCGATTTGGTATTATTATTATTGTATAATAATAATAATAATAATAATAATAATAATGAAAACTTTATTAATAGAACATTTATAGATATATACAATTGTAAATCTCACTTCTTTAGGTAACCTACAATTGACTACTTGAATCACTTATACATGGTTATAGTTTTATAAACAAAATTTGTTAATTATTTATAGAAATAGTTACTTTAAATGTTCATTAGTTCGGGATTTGTCCATTCTTTATTTCTACAGCAAAATATGTAGTACGTTGATCGGATGGCAATAGATATCATTTTTCTGATACAATATTGTTGCTGTTGATTATCCAGTCCTAACTAATTTATCATGTTTACGAATGTATGGCATTCTTTGTCAAACATCCCTATCGAACTGACTGAAAGATTTATAAATTTAACAGATGTAAAGTTTTGATCTAGTTCTCTAATTAGGTTCTTATATTTAGCTTTCTTGCGGTTAACATTGTTTGTGAGGTTTGATTCAAAGCCTACGGTAAGTTCAACAACGTAGAGGTGTTTGTCTGAAGTGGAGACAAGTAAATCAGGACGATATTCATCACCCGTAATAATCGAAGGGCTTCCAAATCCAGGAAGATCAACAAGTAATTCGCATTCGTTTAAACTTTGAAAGGTTTTTGCAAGAAACTTTAGTATGCAATCGTGTCTCCAAATAAATCGTTCCAAGTAATGTTGCCGACAACCGGCAACGAGGTGCAGAAGTGATTCAGGGTGTAAGCAGGACGAGCAGTCAGAACTTGATGAAATTCCCCATCTACTGAGGTTCTTTCGGGTAGGAAGTGTATTATTTATATAGCGAATTGTAAAGTTGAAAAGGTTTTTTGGTAGCTTTGATTGCGATACCGACCAGATTGCGTTAAGTTGTGATAGGGAGAATTTAGAAACACTTTCGAAAAAGGAACCTTGATATTTTAAATGGTCCCTAAGTTTATTTTCTTGTTGAGAATGGAAAGTTTTTAAAACTTCTTTAATTGAATTGTAGCTATCGTATTGAATGTTAGTATGATTATTAGTTGACTTCCACATTTCGTTAATTGAATCGTTTGGAGATGTTTTTTAGGGCATTGCGTAGAACTGTTTGACACTGAATGAACTTGACGGGTGCAGGGAGGATATTTAGACCGTCCAAACTTATTACGGGTTAGAAAGATGTTACTTAATGTTCCAGATATAGGTACTTCCAGCCATTTTCGATATTTTCGACTACCCAAGTTTTGGATGTCGTAGCAACAGTAAAATGCCAGGATAGTTTCGACAAAACATAACGACTGTAAAGTAAAATTTTGTTTTTTGGGTGAAGAGGTTTAAGATCTATTTCGGACATTAGTTCATCAATGAGGGAAATCAGTTTAGATTTATGTTTTTCATTAGTTATGTTAAAGTCGAAGTTTCGTCCCAAATACTCAAATGATTCTCCAGTCTTAATCGTTGGTATGAGATCCTTATTGATCAAAAGCTTCGGCAGGTACTGGGCAGATTTTGATAAAACTTTTTTGATGCCAAATGTGCTACATTTATCAACTCTAACAACCATGTTGGACCATTGGCACCAGATAGAGAATCGATTAAGGAGATGTTGATTTTCCGACTCTTGACCAGTAATAACCGCAGCATCTTCGGCAAACTGAAACCAGTGGATTGGATTAAGGAGTTGGAGGGAGAAACCGAACTGGCGGTACATTTCAGCTTTGATATGTTGAATATATGTGTTGAAACACATACTAAATAGTAGAGGACTAAGACAGTCACCTTGCAAAACACCACGGCCAACAGGTATAAAATGGGTACGGAACTCTGAAGTAATTACGGAAGTTTTAAAATCAGTGTAGAAGCTTTTTATTAAATTATTCATGTGATTAGGGATGTGATGATAGCCAAGGACAGATTGGATTAAGTTATGATGAACTTCTCCAAAAGCGTTTTTGACGTCAAGTAGTGTGATGACAAGTGAACGTTGTTTTATCCGAGCTTTGTTGATTATATTAGCCATTTGTGCAGTATGTTCCATAGTACCAGACAGATTTGGGGTGAAGCCTTTTTGTATGTTATGTTCTATAAAGTTATTGGCGGTGAGAAAGGAGTACATTGCGTTACGTAGACATGATGTAAATACTTTAAGCGGTATAGATTCGAGTCTGGTCGGTCGGAAATTTGAGGGAATACTCGTGTTGCCTTTCTTATGATTAAGTATAGTGCAAGCTTTTTTCCATTCACTCGGGATAGATCCTGAAAGCCAGACAGCGCGTATTAGTTCAGTTAAATAAGTGCTTAGGTAAGGACATCGCTTAAAGCATATAATTGGTATTTGATCGAGAGGACAAGGAGAACCAGATGCTGTCATTTTACGGATAACTGCAGTAACTATGTTGAGCACAAAGGAAGAAAATGTCATGTGTCGAGATAGGGGACGCTTGTGTTGACATTTGTAGGAAATTATATTGAAAGTGTTGGGTTAATACTGATAATAAAAGCATTTTTGTATCTTTTGGAGCATTTATAATAACGATGGATAGTGATATCGAAAGAGAAGTGGTTACTTCATCGATGCAGACATTTGAAAACAGTAATAATAAAAGCAAAGAGAGTTTTCAACGATCGGAAATGACGGTGTCGTTTGGAAGATGAACGAGAGAGCGAATACGTAGATTTATAGACGAATATTTTTATAGCATCGAGGCCCCTGTTACTATTAGCGGAAGAAGAAAAATAGTTGTATTAAAAACTGATTTTTCTGCTGCCCAATCGACAGTGAGAAGTCTTTTCAGTGCTACAGTATGTGTGCGACAAATTTGCGGCCTTAGTGCCAAATTACAAGGCATATATATGTAGTAATTCAAAACACTTTACAACACATGGTCATGGGGAATCTATTGTACGAAGTATCTATGTGTTTATATATAAAGGTGCATTTATACTTCTTTAGTTGATTGACATTGTAGAAGCTATACGTTGTGAAAAGTACATTTCGATCGTTGGAAACAATGTGGGATGCGATATAAAAAAGTCGGGTGAATTCAACCGTGGCAAAGATTATATTATCGAGTATGAAAACGATGCAAAACGTGGTAAAGCCTTTGCCTTACTGTAAAACAGTAGTGAAAAGAAAGTGATATTATATATTTTATAAAATTTGTAACTATACAATTCATTTATCTTCTGCAATAACTCTGTTTTCATATTCAGATTAATTGAACCATAGGTTTGAAATATAACAATGGGTTGGCAAATTTATGATTCCCAAAACTAATATATTATTTACAAATGCCTCTATGGTTAGTTGGTTAGGTTTTCACAATTACACTGCTATCATGATATAGTCATCATACAGGCCTTATCAAACCAAACAATTCAAACCTGGTTAAGTGGCTGATTAGATGGAGAGTTTTCAGCATGGCTGCGTTTCATCCTGGTTTCCCGGGCTGAAATTAAGAAATTTCAGCCCGGCCTGAGGATAAATCCTATTAAAACACAGCAAATGATTGCATGACAGAAATTTCAGCTTGTGCTTAAGTTTTAGCCCGGTTGGAGCTACCCCGGGCTAAAAATTTCAATCCGGTTGGCCGGGCTGAAAATCGCCATGTAATCGACAGGAAAATTCAACCCAGGTTGAAAAAACAGCATTTAAGTGGCTTTATTTCTGTCTGTTCTACTTTTAAATGCAACCACACTCTTGTAGAAGTCAATACATATGAACAACATTTTAAATTTTCCAAAGAAACAGAATACCTCCATTTTGAGACTTCATTCTTTCGACCCGGGCTGAGATTTCACCCCGGTTTGAATTGAAATTCTAACTCACCCCGGGCTGAACTTTGTCATGTAATCGTGAAACAATTTCAGCTCGGTTAACTGGGTTGAAATTCAGCGCGGGCTGAAAATCCCCATGTCATCAGCCCCTAAGACATGTTGAACCTTGAATTGTTTTCTCAGTCATCCCTGCGTGGCCCTAATGAATTAACCATTAACTTGCAATTGCTTCTCTTTCAAAAAAAATATAATGTAGGGTGCATTTGCTGGACACATTGCCAGCTCACCCACCAGTGAATTAACATGCGGCACTGGCAGATTGCCAATGACAAGTAAAATTGGGTGGTGTCAGTATGGAAACAAAGTATGGGCCAATCTGATAAAAAATAGAACAAAACATACGTGAAAATGGTTTAGAATCTTCTTTGAATATTAAACTTGTACATTTCCAGTCAATGTATACAATTTGTTATTTCCAGTGTATTTAACTTCAGTATCTATAAGTATCTACAAGTGTTCAACCCAGAGCCAATAGGCCATACGATTTTGCATGCCAATTTCTCGACTAGTCAGTCCTCTCTCAGTGAGGTCAGAGATCTGCCAATTGAAGAACTTCACCCTGCAAATCCCAAATTGAATGAACAACCATCCCAGGGTGGATATCAATAGTTGTTAATAACCGATTGACAGCAGTATTCTTCCACTGAGTAAAATTTTATTGCTTTAGACAGAGTAAAATACCAATTTGAAAGTAGGTGCATCTGCATGCATTGCCAGTTGATGTGTAGATTATGTAATGGTGATAGACAATAAATATTCTTCAACAGTCTTAAATTTCAGTAAGTATTTAGTTACAGTAGTCTGGTACAATGTTATAATTTCTAAAGAAGTGAATAATGATGAGGTGAAATTTGCCTAGCGGGTCCAAATCGTCGGGCTAGCTATGCCACTGCTAGCAACTGAACATGCAGAAATGCCATACATTATAATATAATGGTTTTTTGAGGATACTAATTGAAAATTCAATAACAGATATCAGTTTGACTATTCCAAATGTTACTTTTAATAGTCCACTACACAGTACACATCAACTAGAAATCGCTATCAATGACAAGTAAAATTGTCTGGAGTTGTCTTGTTGGCAGAGCAAATACCAAAGTACGCTGCATAGGCACATGATTTGGGCTGATACGTTTGCAATATTAGTTCAATTTACTTCATTTGTTTGTTTCGCATCAATACGTTCGCACCGACGTCAGATCTCACGACCAAAAGCAGAGCAGTTTTTCCCGGACAAATCCAAAAGTATCGTCTTTAAGTATGAAAATCCTCGAACACTTGAGAATGGAATATGTGAATATACACTTAGCATAGCGTGGTTATATCTCAAAACCAATCAACAATACCTTTAAAACTTGTGAATACGATCAGATCATTACGAACTTCGAAGTATAAATCAAATCCGTGCTCAAATCAGGCGTATACAATCGAAAACACGTAAATTTATACATCACAAAAGCCATGTCAACAATATATTTTCTATTACACTCCTGCGAAGCGTCCCCCTATCTCGCCACGTGACATGAATAAAATCAGAACAATAACATATTTGTCACGTGGTGCAGCTAGCCTAACCATCCTTCTTCTATTAACCGTGCTGAAATGCACCTTAAAAACCATCATTCAAAAGGCTGAAGGCCTCGCGTGACTTTCCCCTACATTTTTACAAATGTACAATGCCATATAATAAAACACTTATGCTGACCTCAACCGTTCGGGAGGTACGGAAAAATATCCAACCACGGTTTTGCTGTATTGACCTCGCTATCATTCGGTCAACACAGCAAGTCCTCGGTTGGACATTTCCCAGCACTGTCCTCACTCTCGGGCAGTAAGTTATATTATATAACATCCCTACCTCATTGGTTGGCCAAATATTCATTGATCTGTTCAATCATTATTTGTGTTTCACTTATAGCCACAATAGAATTGTCATTAAATGATTTTTGTATACTAGCCTATTTTGTCTTCTGTGTACAGAAAAGCAAGTACCTTCATTATAGCCAAGGTTTTCCAACTTCAGTAACAAATTACGTAAATCTTCGTCCATTTCATCCTGCTGTTCTGAATAATCACCTGACGTTGTAGGTTGTGTGATATCCTATTGGATTTTAACGACTTTACATTAATATATGCTGGGTGGCACAAAAAAGTCTCCTGTTTCATTTAGTTGAACTTAAAACCCAAAAGAGCTGCCGAGATGGAAAATGTTTTTTTCGTTCTGATAACTTGGTTTTAGGGCTCATAATTTGCTGCGAAAGATTACAACTAATAGGGAAAAATAACAAAATTGTGACTGTGTCATAAGGTTGTCGTGTGAAACAATATGTCTTTAAGACTAATAAGTCATACAAGATAAATCCTGAAGTAGTTAAGTAGTCTCTGTCCTCCGTAGAGGCTTACATTAAGTTTCTGGTGAGGGAAAAGTGAGCGCGCAAGGAGCGATGGGAAGACCAAAGTAAAGGAAACCTCTGCTAGTTAATGCAATCAGTATGGCGTCGTATATAATCGTTTGGAGTTCGGTTCGATATCAACCTTCGAATGTGTTAAAACATGTTTTCCACTTTCATTTTCAGGGGTACTTGAGTCTCCTGGAGTGAATCCAATATCAATATCTTCTTCTGTCCATTTGCACCGAAAAATACTGAGAAATTGCAAATGAATATGAATGGCTATGACTTATCTGATTATAAATATCCTCTAATTTGCAACATTAATTTCTTTATAAAATGACTCTACTGACCTTGGACACTAAGATTATGAAGATTTATTTCAATTTCTTCCACATTTCCGTCCATTTCAAATTTTAAAAAATGTCAAACGAATGTTTGGTTTAAAAACCATTCGTTCAATCTTCTCATAACTCCGCGCGTGCTCACTTTTATTCTGGAAACTTCACGTAAGTTATTTGTAAATATTTAAGGAGGCTCTGCGGAGAAAAGAGGTTACGTAGTTGCAGTCTTACAGAATTAAAAACAAATTTCCTACTGCACGCTATATGAATTTTTCGGAAACTTTTCCGCTGTAATCATATTCGTCGAAAGTTCGATAAGTGGGGGGGGGGACCATATTCATATATTCCTGTTCTGCATTATTAATTTCTTCCACATTTCCGTCCATTTCAAATTTTAAAAAATGTCAAACGAATTTTTGGTTTAAAAACCATACGTTCAATCTTCTCATAACTCCGCGCGTGCTCACTTTTATTCTGGAAACCTCACGTAAGTTAGTTGTAAATATTTAAGGAGGCTCTGCGGAGAAAAGAGGTTACGTAGTTACAGTCTTACAGGATTAAAAACAAATTTCCTACTGCAGGCTATATGAATTTTTCGGAAACTTTTCCGCTGTAATCATATTCGTCGAAAGTTCGATAAGTGGGGGGGGGGACCATATTCATATATTCCTGTTCTGCATTATTAATTTCTTCCACATTTCCGTCCATTTCAAATTTTAAAAAATGTCAAACGAATTTTTGGTTTAAAAACCATACGTTCAATCTTCTCATAACTCCGCGCGTGCTCACTTTTATTCTGGAAACCTCACGTAAGTTAGTTGTAAATATTTAAGGAGGCTCTGCGGAGAAAAGAGGTTACGTAGTTACAGTCTTACAGGATTAAAAACAAATTTCCTACTGCAGGCTATATGAATTTTTCGGAAACTTTTCCGCTGTAATCATATTCGTCGAAAGTTCGATAAGTGGGGGGGGGGACCATATTCATATATTCCTGTTCTGCATTATTAATTTCTTCCACATTTCCGTCCATTTCAAATTTTAAAAAATGTCAAACGAATTTTTGGTTTAAAAACCATACGTTCAATCTTCTCATAACTCCGCGCGTGCTCACTTTTATTCTGGAAACCTCACGTAAGTTAGTTGTAAATATTTAAGGAGGCTCTGCGGAGAAAAGAGGTTACGTAGTTACAGTCTTACAGGATTAAAAACAAATTTCCTACTGCAGGCTATATGAATTTTTCGGAAACTTTTCCGCTGTAATCATATTCGTCGAAAGTTCGATAAGTGGGGGGGGGACCATATTCATATATTCCTGTTCTGCATTATTAATTTCTTTTGAAATCGATTGTTTTTAAGGTCTGTGAACACGAATATATGAATATGGTCCCCCCCCCACTTATCGATCTTTCGACGCCTATGGCCGTAATTTATGGCGGTCGGTCTTGAAACATGACGTACTTCCGGCTTCAAAGCTAAACAATAGATGTGCTATCCTGCAGCATGGCCTATCGAAGGGGAGATGGCTGTGAAACTCATTAGAATAACAATATAACTCATTATCTATGTTGCTCAACGTTTATTCATAAATCTGATCCTTCACCGTCACGTGTGTATTGTATTTGTACCCAGCTAACCAATAGTAATGTTTTAGGAAAGTCACCTATCCATGACTCGAACAATAGGGAAACTAGAAATTGCTATTGGTGGATTTGGCAGAAATACAATACACACGTGACGGTGAACGAACATATTTATGAATACACGTTGACTAACACAGATAATGAGTTATATTGTTATTCTAATGAGTTTCACAGTCATCTTCCCTTCGATAGACCATGCCTGCAGTCATATGGATACACACTGAAACTGGTGACAACGATTGCTACTGATGACCCTGGCGGTTTACGAGACGGAACATTGCAGTGGTGGTATTATAACAAACATATTTGCAGGTTCGGTTAGTCCGGGATTGGACGCAGCGAGGGTGGCTGGAAGTTTCCCGACCGCACCGAGGGAAACAAGGTGGGTTCGGGAAACTTCCAGCCACCCGAGGACTCACCGAACCTGTACGAGGACTCACCAATCCCGGACCCACCGAATCTGCAAGTATATTTGGTTTTTATCACATGCCATTTCGGTATAGAGTACGGAAGAATTTACGCATTTTAGTATATGACTTTTCTTGTTTGGATAACGAACATTTTAGCCGCCAACATACTACGCAAACAAACAAACTTAGGCTTAACTTGAAGCTAAAAAATGATGTACAATATTCCCTTATTCGTGAAAAGAGGAGAGGCACAAAAACTGCGAAAACATTGCCAAGATTTATATAAACCTGCCCGTGCCGAACAAATTTCGGCGGTCATCTTTCTTCTCTTTCACTTTGAATACAGAATATTCCATTTTCATCAAACAAAATATAAAATAATAATTATAAAACAATTAAAAACAGTTAATTTATTTTTTATTTAAATCTTCATCGGAAATTTGTTCAAATCGCTTCATAATGGCCGCCGCCGAAAAATCGATCTCGAACCCCCCTCCTAAACATACGTCAGCAGGTGGTGGGTTCGAGATTGAACGCACCTCCTCGTAGCCAATAGGAAAGCCGCTAATACGCTAGGCAGAAGATAATCAGTTGCGCCGGTTGTTCGAGTGCCGGTTAGCTTAATGCTAGATTAGGCTCAGCGTTAAACTTCGAAGCAAACTTGCCAATAGCATGAAGATATTTTTCCAGAAGTCTTGTTTGGATCAATAGAAGTTTTATTTTCTAAAGTTGTGTGATAAACGAGCGTGCAGAAATACTCAAACCAAAACAGCAGATTAAATTTTAGCCCAAGTTCAGTACTAATTCAGAATTGAAGAATCGGCCCCTGGTGGTGGCTGCTATGTGTTCTTACCATGTTTTCTGTCCCTTTTTGCATTGCACTGAATAACATGTTTGGTGAAAAGGAACTAGATAAAACAAGAGCAATTATGAATTACAAATTGAATAATAATGGTCGCATCTTGCGAAGCTGTTCCTTGTTAGGTCTGATAAATGTATATAAATTTCCACTCGACAATTTTCATCTACAAGACCCTTCTAGTATTATTGATGGAAATTGCCCGACATCATGGTGATACATGAATAGAAATTATTTGAGAAACAGGAAAGTGATATTACGTCTTCAAAAACTTATTAATAATTCATGAAGCAATTATCCAATCTTGAGTAAGAAATTAGTCACGTGCATACGTCTTTATACCAGCTAAAGAACAGTTTAACAAAAGACCATTGTTATGCAAACTATAAAACACGACCTGCGAGTTTTTTAAATGGCTTCAAAAACAATTTTATTCAAAAGATTGACTTTGAATTTCTCCTAACATGTAATCAGTGACATCACACGCATGCTTTTACTTGTCGCTTAGCAACATGCAACAAGCTATCAGCTTGACTTTTTTGACGGGCCAACGAGCAAAAACAATACAAAATTTTAATGTTGAAGTTGCGAAAAACTGTTCAAAATACTGGAAAATAAAATAAACATCGATACACAAACTAATTTGTTAACATGCATTTTCAATGCTTCAGAAGCATTGAAGGTACTTTCTATATCACATTTGTTCAATTTATGTAGCTTTTTTCTATGTTTTTTTGTATTCCTGGATCTTTTTTAAGTTTTTCTGCGCCACTTTGCTTTTGCCAAAATTGTCAAGACAAAAACACGAATCCCAAGCTGGCTAATTTTACACCTAAATAACTTTACATAGAATCCTTCGGTCTATTTTTTCTTCCTTCAAAAATGTTATAGTTTTGTGTATATTTTTGGATAAAAAGCAGAGCCGAAACGGGGAAAAAAATGCACAGAAAAACCAATGCAGTGCCACAGACCCCAGTGCAGTAATATTGGTTATAATTCACACACATTAGCGAATCAAATTGCATGTTATCCACGTCTCACTTAAATTATAATATAATATAAGTGGGATATATTAAAATGCACTTGTCTTGACAAGTTTTGGGCAAAAAGAATAGCTGAGAAAATTTGAAAAAGATACAGGAACACCAAAAACATAGAAAAAAGTCTACCTCCTCCGCAGAGCTAGCCCTTTCAAAATTGGTGGGAAACGAACGGAAAGACCTGAGGACTAATTTTCCAAGATCGCGGAAGCCACAAGCCAAATTATATTGATATATCATTTATACCAGATCAATATTATTATTAAAGTCTTTAAGTACTTCAGAAAAATAGTGAATACTGAACAAACAAGCATACATTGATTTATAAACAGAAGCAGATAAATATCAATTAATTTACATACTAAATTCTAAAACAGACAAATAGGTTTTAATATAACACGTCGTATGTCAGGCATGCGGTTTATCCGGGAAATTTATTCCATTTATATTTGTCTTTCACACAGTGTAACTATTTAAATGCGTGTGTATATAGTCAAAACATCCCATTTGGCCAAATGAAAGATTCACAACGTCTATATCACGGTCGCTTCTGCTTGTAAAACCTTCCATTCTTTGAAGCTTCTCTTCGCTTTTATCCGCCTTAACTGCCAAGATTTATTTAGAAAATACTCACAAAACAGGATTGGTAAAGATTGGCAGACGATGTGCCATATTTGTGAAAAAATTTGATCGAATCCACACTAACGACACTAACGTGTCGATTACTTGGCTTAATAGGCTTATATTCAGCAGGCCTTACAGCAACGCAAGGCTTCGTCTCAAATTTCAACCTGCGAACGGACATACTCATTACGGGCGGTATGGCCTGCGCAGGTAGGAAAAAAGTTACAAAAACTGGGCAAATGTAATTTAGAAATTGCACGATGGTTGAGCATTACATATGAGGAATTGTCAAGTAGGACGTTTGCGTCATGAACCAAAGCCGAATCCTGCGAAAACCGAATTCAATCATTGATTGATTAATACTTATTTTTAATATATAGAAAAGACACCCGCTCCAGTGGTTCAATTTGCGATTTTTCATTAATACTTCGAATATTAACAAGTGTAATTTCCTATTAATATTCTTTTAGTCAATTTTACACTATGCTCAATGACAACAAACATTGTGTATTAAAAATATGCTCTCAAGTACGTCCCATATTGCATGTTATAAACGGTAAGAGTAATTTCTGATAATTTATTAATTTTCAATTCACACCTGCATGTAAAAACTGTGATTAATTTTTATTTCACCTTCGTCTTCTTTTATATAAGAGCTCGGTGTATAATAAGATCTCAGAAAATAGAAATTTTCACGTTGTTTATTTACATTTTGTATGCACATCCCTGCAAGGGCGTGCAGAACTCACGCGGGCTCGTATATGCGTCCCGATTAATCTCTATCGCGGCATGCACATGCACCCGTGCCGATTAATGTTTAATCGGCACAGTCTTTAACAAATAAGAATAGAGCAAACTGACTAAAATCATGAAGTAATTAATTATAATTAACTAACCTTATAACAACACTCCTTGTGGCAACATAATCAACTTCCTTTGACCAAGGATTGCGAAATACAACTGATGTAGATTTTATAGGAACATAGTGCCCAGCTTTCGCGCGAAACCGAAATATCACTTCCGGTGTTGTCCAGGGCTTGTTATGGAGGTCTTTGTAATGAGCTTCAGCGAGGATCTTAAGGTCATATTTATGTAAGAAACTGTATGTTGATTTGCCGTAAACTTCATCTGGACAAAAACCAAATATCTTGGTGAAACTACATTGAAGGGATGAATGAAATAACAAGTGTTCATTACATTTCCCAGCATTGTTGCAAAGCAAAATTCCCAAGTTCTAAGTTACCCATCACCCCTTTCGTGCTCAATGTTCAAGGTTTAAGATTTTTGAACGACAACCTTTTTTCGAATATATAATATAGTTTCCAATTCAAAAATCTTAAACTTTAAACATTGAGCGCGCAAGGTATGATGGGTAACTCCTATCTACAGGGTGTCTAAAAAAAAACGCTATGGAAATTCAACAGACTGTCGTCCATTATAAACTGAGCTAAACAATTCAATTCCTATATGGGACGAAAGAGCTGTTATTTAGCTTTTCTATGATCCCCGAGCCGACAGCGCGAAGCGCCGTGCGAGGGTACTAATTCCCCCCGGCTATTTACACGCGGGGAAACGAAAGCATTAGCCAAGTCTAAAGTTCATCAATGAGCGCGGGCGTGGGTTACCGTGAGTGGTTCGGTGGTTCGGTGGGTGGTCATCCCCACTGATCTCAAAAATATGGCGGACTGTCATGAATAGCGGACACTGATCGGTCCAATTTAAAGTTTGCATTATAACGACTGTCGACTGTATGAAGACAGCGAAATAGCAAACATTTCTTGATTTGATGATTGATAAATTTCTTGCAAATATATTTAATTTTTGCTCGCATTTTTGCAAGATTTTGTAAATTTCAAGAAAGAAAGGGCGAAAGAATCGGCTAAAAGAAGGGAGCCGACGTCAACGAAGGTAAGTTCGTTTTAAATATTGATTTTATAATTGCTTTAAAACCCGACGGCCGCTTTGGCCCTTTGGCTTTGCGTATATGAAACAACTAAACAAGACAGCATATAATTTCAGTGTATTAATAATATTGATTCCCTTTTTTATTAGGCCTATATTGAATTTTTTGAATAAAAAAGAAAGCAAAGTTATTTGTATGCGAGAATTTGAAATCATTTTATTGCAAACTCAAAGTTTATCGATAAAATCATTTTAATAATTAAAGGCAGTTTTAATAGTTTTATAAAGAACATTTTAAAACGTTTTGCGAAGCTTTTGTGGTTGAATTTTACCTTAAATTGAAGCTTATATTACGTATAATAACATACCTAACATATATATGTTGGGAAATTGATAATTTTGTAATTAAAAGTGATATTTTTAGGCGATTTTTCATTTGTAAGAATATTCTTAAAAAATTATCGTGTTACCATGACAACAACTTTGGATACTTCATGTTCGGAAAATACAATGGTTTTGTCAGCAAGGCGAGGGTTTCTGCATGCATGTATTTTCTAGTACCTTTTTTAAACCGTAACGATCAGAAATGGACACATACTCGTCAAATAAAAATCGTCGTTCGAAATCACATTCTTCCACAGTTGGGAATTGAAAATTATTAATTATGCAAAGTTAATCAATCCAAAAGCAACGCGAGAATGCTGCAAGCTATTTCTTTCGTAAAACGTTTTGATTACGAATGTTCTCTGTTCAGGGGTTAATTGAACCATGTCTAATGGACGTTCATATTGAGTTATTAGGGACCTTGAGCATATACGACGGCAACACGGCGACGACAACCAAAACAAACTTCTTCAAATAAATTATCGCTAAGAAGTGTTGTGATGTATTATCCACTGCATGTATATATGAATTGAGTTCAGTTTGAAGAGATTAAAACAAAGGCTTTATGGATAAAAACGCTTCTGCTCAGCAAATTTGTAGTTTCACTTGTCGCATTTGTAGTTTCACTTGACATGTTTGCGTTGTACACGAGATGTGAAAATCTCTGGTTTGCCGTTGTAAAAAGCCCTAACATGTACAACGTCTCTAACTCCCGTGGGGCTTTTAATTATTCATTTCGCTTGTACGATATCAGGAATATCATTGTGTGGTTGCGTTACCGTCTTGTTTGCTTAAGGTCCCTATTGTCTCACTAAGACGAAGATTGACGAGTTGAGCTCATTTTAGATAATTTAACATTGAACTTTAATTCCCTCTTGGGATAGTTTACAGGGTGTCCCAAAACCCCCGAAAACTATTGAAATCACTTATTGTTAAAATTGATTGCCCTACCAAAAAGCTGAACGTAATGATGCGTAAAATATTGACAAGGTGCATGTATTAAAATTTAGTTAAGAACATCTTCTTGTAAAGTGCGCGATTTTCAGCTCTTGGGAATTTAAAGCAGCTTCTTAAATAGTTTCTCTATGTCAATCAATTTATGCACTCGTGGGAACCAATAGAGTGCTAAGGCATTCAAATTCTAACAATTAAATTGTTATCGGTGATTTCAATAGTTTTCGGGGGTTTTGGGACACCCTGTATATGGCGCGGGTCGCGAGTCAATAGACGGTTTTAGATAACAAGACGCGGACGTCAAGAGGTCGTGAATGTCGTCATTTGGCGCCAACTATCGTCAGCTTCTGGTTTGCGACGTCGTCTTGGATGATTTCACGACGCGAAAATACAATTTTCACGTCCTCTCTAGAACGTCACAGATTTTTGTTTCTTTTGAAAAAAATATGAGATTATGCATAATAAATATCATCCTATTTTGTTCCCCACGTATTGTTTAATGATACTAGCTAAAGTTTTTCCATTGACAAGGTTGTTTTTCTTGTATTTCGCAAAATTTTAGACGAGTTGATTTTCGACAAATACTTTCGGTCGCCATAAACAAATCAGCAAAACTGCAAGCATTGTTTATTTTAACCACTTCAATACCGCTAGTAATTTTCACCAAAACAAATATTTTAGAACAAACTAAACTGAAGTTATATTAAAAACTGTTTAAATCAGGAAAACGTGGGAAAATAGAAAAATAAAAGCACTTAAAAGCAGAAAAACTCAATCAATCATAGTTGCTCTGTCACAACAGTCAACAGTACAAAACGTAGGCCAAGAAAAAAAACGCTTTCCAGCGTGAAAAACTATCGTAAACAGTAATAAATTTTACCAATAGGCAATTCCAGCTTTTAGTTTATGCCTGCAGGGAATGATGGGAAGTAAGGTATCATATTGCTAATTATGCCGAAAAATTTCAATAAAAATTACCGACACAACCGAAATATTTCAATATTTACAAGTATAAGCTATCACTACGTGTTTACACGGCCACCATTTTTATTTTTTCAGCATAATCATCAATGTGATACCTTACTTCCCATCGTCCCCTGCACGCATAAACTAAAAGCTGAAATTGCCTATATAAACACTGATGCTATATTTATACAGAACAGTTGACAAACTTGATTGAATAGGCTACAATTAGCTCGTAAACAATACATGCAGCTGTTGTATTTATTCCAAATGATGCAACAAAGTTCACTTTTCAAAATACCAAAAAATAACTTTTTTTCTAAAAAAAACTTATTGAATGTCCGTACTAATTCATCACAAAACACTTAGTGTAAAACACGCCAGTATTATATAGCCTTTTCTTGCACATATCTTGACAACTGATTGAAAACAATACAGGAATGAACCTCGGAATGAACAGGTAACAAGAAAACAAAAATTTGCTTTGAAAAAGACAAACAAAAAAAACAAGCCGCCCCAGATTAAAACCCGGAAGTGAACGCGAGGTGTATACGTCATTTTCACGTCCTCTTGACGTCCGCGTCTTGTTATCTAAAACCGTCTAATAGAAATGGCGCGGGTCCAACGAAAATGGCGCGGGTCCAGTGAAAATGGCGCGGGTCCAACAAAAATGGCGCGGGTAACAAGTTCTGAGGCGCGAGTAAAACGTTCCGAGGCGCGGGTAACAAGTTCCGAGATCAATTGCCCGGTATTTATATTCAAGATGGCGGCTATTTTGACTAAAAATTCTGCCATTATTCAGTCAAATATCGTCTCATTCTGTGGAAACTTTGCGAGCTTTAAACTTAAACTAACAGACATCAATTTAAGCAAATCTCGTTTGGAGGCGTTATACTTAGCATATTTTTAAACACAAAGAGAATGGACAGTTGGAAATGGAATATTTGGAAGGAGTCACTATCAGTACATTTTTATTATTATACTAATACTAATCTGTTAATAATTAAGGTAAAAAGATAATTCATCTAAATTCTCAATATAATTTTGGTTAGAAAACCCCCACAATATCATCGACTTTCTCACAGAAAGAAATTGCGGTCAATAACAATATAACCTCAAAAGATCCGCGCTCCCAGAATGAAAGTACTTCCTCTCAACCCGACTCATTATCAAATATTACCCCAACTCATCATACTACAGCCAAAAGTAGCAGCGACAGCCCGATCCTAATTATCGGCGATTCTATCATCAAACATATTGATCCTAAAAAGATCTCCCGAAAGAAAACTATTAAACGCACGTTTCCTGGCAAAACCGCAGAACTAATAAAATCTGAAGTGGAATCTATGGAGGTTGAAGTACTTCCTTCACACATTATTGTACATGCTGGGACTAATGACCTTTCTGTGCAACCGCCGCATAATTGCGTTAAAAACATCGAGAATCTAGCTTTGTGTATAAAAAAGAAATTTACAGATTCAAGAATAGCAATATCCAGCATAACTGTCAGAAACGACTTGGATTTAAGCAAACAGATCTCCACTGCTAATGAAGAATTACAAAAAATGTGCTCTAGGAACGGGTTTGATTTTATTAAAAACAATAATATTGATGCTACATGCTTAAATGGCGGCCTGTTACACTTGAACTCAAAAGGATCCGCATTCTTGGCAACAAATTTTATTAAGTTCCTAAGGGGGAACAATCCAGCTGCATCAGAGTATCGCCAAAGGAAGAGAGGGGAGGATTTTCAAGGTCGCCGGACATATCAGAATCATTCACTAGAGGACCTACTGAGACTCCTATTACTCGCTCAGAGGACCGAGTATTAAGTAATGATTATAATCGGTGTGACCCTTCGACAGGTAAAATAGATGAATCTAATAATATATTTTCTGATTTAGATTGTTCTAAAGGCCTAAAAATGGCAAATTTAAATATTAATAGTCTTTTAAAAAGTATCGACCAGCTCCGTATCATTATGCAAAATAGCTCTATTGACATTCTGGCGATTAATGAAACAAAAATTGACCATTCAGTGTATGATGATGAAATTAGCATACCTGGATATTATCATATCCGTAAAGATAGAAATAGGTATGGTGGGGGAGTGTTATTATATGTGCGAGAATCTTTACCATTTTCTGAACGAAATGACTTATTAATATCTGATTCGCTAGAAATGCTATGCATTCAAATTACGAAACCACACAATAAGTCATTTCTAATAGTTACATGGTATAGACCGCCAAATTCTGAGGTTAGTCTCTTTAATGAATACGAGACTTTTCTTAGAAAATGCGACTTGGAAAATATTGAAGTAATAATAATGGGGGATCTGAATTGTGATACCATAAAATGTCCTCCCGAAGCTCACACACGCAGACTACAATTTCTATCCTCACTTTACCAGTATAGACAACTTATTAATGAACCTACAAGGGTAACAAGAACATCAGCAACCTTATAGACTTGATATTGACAAACAAAGAGGAAAATATTTCGAAATCTGGTGTTATTCATCTTGGAATATCTGATCATAGTTTGGTTTTTGCCGTTAGAAAATATTGTGTCACTAAATCTCGGCAAAAGACAAGATATGTTCGCAATTTCAAAAGATTCAATGCCAATAACTTTCTTAATGATCTTTCCCAGATGCCCTGGGAAAATGTGGCGCTTTATGATAACCCAAATGTTTGTTGGCGGGTATCGAGATCCCTTTTCCTACACGTCCTTGATTGGCATGTGCCCCTAAGACTGATGAGACTTAGAGGAAATTCTATTCCTTGGATTTCCCCTGATATCAAAAATCTGATGAGGGTTAGGGACTCTTACAAGAAAATGGCTGTTAAAAATAATTCCCAGATTCACTGGGAGAAATTCAAAGAAATACGTAACAAAGTCAATTCAGAACTAACTAAAGCTAAAACAGCATTTTTCTGTAACAAATTTGAGAACTGCGCACAATCGAAAGATATGAAACATAGTTGGAAGTTAATTAATATTCTCTTAGGTAAAAACAAAAAATCTAATAATATCTCTCAACTTAAATGTGATGATGTTGTAATTTCAGATGATACTTTGAAAGCTGAGGCGTTTAATGACTTCTTTGTTAACATCGGGGTAAATCTGGCTAATGAAATTGAGAACGATTCTCCATGTACGAACTTTTCAGATGATGAAAATTACCACTCTAACTATTACTCTAATATAAATTTTAAGTTTTCTGAAATTAGTATGGATGATATTATTTGTCAATTACGTAATCTTAAAATTTCAAAGTCTACCGGTATTGATAACATCCCTGCTATAGCTCTTAAATTGTCCGCGGAAGTTATTGGTCCTTCATTAACATGGATTTATAATCTTTCAATCAAAACTGGGATATATGTTGATGAATGGAAAAAGGCGTGGGTAATGCCAATTTTTAAATCTGATGATAGACAAAGATGTGAAAATTACCGACCGATATCTATATTGCCTATTGTCAGTAAAATACTAGAGAGATCGGTTTTCAACCAGATTTATAAGTTTTTGAATGATAATTCGCTGCTATCTAAACATCAATCTGGCTTTCGGCCTAAGCATTCAACTTTAACAACACTCATTCAAATGTGTGACACACTTTATGAGAACATGGATAATGGTCAGTTGAGTGGTGTTGTTTTCCTTGATATTAGAAAAGCTTTTGATTCTATTGATCATACAATCTTATTGCAAAAGATGAATGATCAATTTGGAATAAAAAATGTGGAACTGGATTGGTTTAAGTCCTATCTAACTAATAGAGAGCAAGCATGCATTGTCAACGGTGCAATGTCATCACCTAAAACGATTGTGTGCGGAGTTCCGCAGGGATCAATTCTTGGTCCCTTGCTGTTTTTATTATATATTAATGATTTACCCGAATGCCTCGAAAAAACTTCGCCACACCTATACGCTGATGATACTCAAATTTCTACTTCTGCCAAAACTATTGAGGAATTCGAACTTACTGAAAATCTAAATAATGACCTGAAAAAAGTCGGTGAGTGGCTTGCTCGAAATAAACTGCAACACCACCCAACTAAGACCAAATTAATGTATATCGGTTCAAAGTATAATACTGATACTATGACTTATGATATTCCAGTAATGATGAATAACCAATTCATAACTCTTGCTCATTCATACACATGCCTTGGGGTTAAACTTGATGAAAACCTTAATTGGCATGAGCATGTTGAAATGATTTGTAAGAAAGTTGGGGCCGGCATAGGAGCAATGCAACGAATTAAGCCATATGTTCCTATAAATACCCTGCATACCATTTACAGAGCTTTGATAGAACCGTATTTTGATTATTGTAGTCCATTATGGGACGTCTGTAACCAACAGCTGAAAGATAAGCTTCAAAAGTTCCAAAACCGTGCAGCGAGAATTATAACCGGCGCCAGCTATGAAATAAGGTCTGCTGATGTTCTTCGATCCCTTGCTTGGGAAAATTTAGAGATAAGACAACGTACAACTAAATCCACATTAATGTATAAAGTCCTGAATGATTGCGCTGGGCCGAACTTGAAGGATGCTCTAACGAGAAGGGACCTTGTTCAAACCAGTTATAATCTTCGCAATACTTATACTGACCTTACCCTTGCTAAGCCAAAACGAGAATTTCTAAAAAAAAGCTTTAAGTATAGCAAAGCTAAATTGTGGAATAGTCTTCCTTCTGATGCGAAGCTAGCGCAATCAATTTATTCTTTTAAAAACTGCCTGAAAGTTTCACGCTAACATCTTCTAATATACTGTATATGCATGCTTTAGAAATATGGGTCACACCGTTTGGAACTTAATTCTTGTATTGTAAATAGTTGTATATAATTCTTTATTCTTTTCTATATCATATTTGTAATTTTTAATAGTAACAGACGTCCCTCGTGAAAATCAACAAATCGTTGACGAGGCTAACGTCTTTAAATAAAGTTTACATACATACATACATACATACATATCTGTCAATATAACTAAACAACAACAATTAAACTATTTCAGTACATACAGTTTCAGTCCATGTTTTCTGCATTTGCTCTTTGAACAAAGGTGATTGGAAACCCATTAGTATCTTCATGTTCAAGTTTGCTGTCTTTCAAATCAACGGGATATAATCTCTGTACCGCTCTTCTAGTTGTTGCGAGTTTTCCGACTTTATTGGACATTCTTACTGTTGCAGATCTAACGTTCCAAATCTGCGTGGGTTTTCCTCTTCGAGAAACAAAGCGACGAAGTGTAGCAAGGAATGCTTCCGCCGAGAGGTCTCATACTAATTCGATGTGGTTACGAGGCAAACAAAAACTGCTACATAGGCTTTGCGATACGTTGGCTTTCGAACTGATCCTATCTTTAGTGTAAACGGTCCAGCATAATCAACCGAGACTCTCTCATTGGCAAAGGTGGGCAAAACACGTGCTGACGGAAGTTGACCCATCAGTTGAGTTGTTATCTTTGGAGATGCTCGCTTGCACACTACACACTCACGTATCAACTTACGAACGACTCTACGTGCACTAATGATATGATAGGTATCCTGAAGAGATCCTAAAGTAAGCTTTGGACCAGCATGACACAATCGTTTATGTTCACTCTGTACGATCAAGGTTGACAGATAATGCTTTCCATGAAGGATCAGTGGATGCTGAGATTCGTAATCTTTCATTGACTGCGAAAGACGACCACCAACTCTTAATAATCCGTCTTTATCCAAGAAGGCATTCAATGATTGCAAAGGATCCGATAATGGTAATGGGTTTTTCTTTCTTAACAATTTGACAGTGTTTGGGAACATTTGAGCTTGGGCTTGTTTAATCAACTAAGTTTTAGCTTTGGATAGTTCAGACACTGCTAGTGGTGTAGAACTGAATAGGTTTGAACGGGTGACCACACGAAATACCCAGGCAGTAACTCTCACGAGTTGAATGTAACTGAAATATCGAGTAATGTCAATCACAGGCTCCGTCGAGGCTGTATCTGTCGTTGTTTGCAGAGTAACTTCTTCTTTCTCTTTTAGTTGTAAACAGTCTTTCGTGGCACCCAGCGATTGGAGAGCTTCCAGTGAAGGAGATGCAATAAATTTCGATGGCCAGTTCGACTGATTTTGCTTAAGCCAATCTGGACCAGTCCACCAGAGGGGGTGTTCTTTAATTTCCTTTGCTAATATACCACGAGATCCGACGTCCGCTGGATTTTGTAAACCATCAACGTGCTTCCATCTTTGAGGTGGTATCAAATCTTGTATCTTTGCTATTCGATTAGCTTCAAAAGTTTTAAACCGCTGGCTAGTGCCATAGATCCAGTAAAGAACGATTGAGCTGTCTGTGAAGGAATGTAAATTCAACAATGGAATGGAAAGGATTTCTTGAAGATGTCTCATCATCTGCGCAAGTAAAAGAGCTCCGCAAAGTTCGAGGTAGGGAAACTTTCTTGATTGGCGCAACGCGTGTTTTAGCCATGACAAGAGATATGTGAACTTCACCTGTTGTGTTAGTGCTTCTCAAATAAACAGTACCACAATAAGCCTCTTCACTGGTGTCAGAAAAACCAATAAGCTGTTGATCAACAATCTGGAAATGTATTGGCGTATAGCAGCGATGGAATCTTAAGTTGGACAGTTCAAACAAACTTTCTCTCCAGTTCATAAAGTGTCTCTGCATGTCCGGTGGCAATGGCTCATCCCAATCGATGCTTTGTTTCCAAAGCTGTTGGAAAATGATTTTCACAACAATCGTGACACACGAGATAAGACCAAGTGGGTCGAAGATCTTTGAAGAATCAGATAAAACGTTGCGTTTGGTAAGGTGGGACTGATCAACGGAGAGCTCAGTAGTAGAAAATCGAAAATAATCTTGATTTGAGTTGTATTCTATGCCAAGTGTCTTAACGAAGTTGTCTGAATCTCCCAACTTAGATGTAGTTTGGCTGCTTCGAAATTCTTGCGGAATAGAGTTCAACACTTCAGTAGAGTTAGAGTCCCATTTATGAAGTTTGAAACCGCCTGTGGCAAAGAGATCTTGGAGCTGTCGACAAGATGTTTCTTGCTTGGTTTGTACAGAAGGTAAACCATCGTCCACGTAAAAGGATTCCCTTACGACTTTGGCAGCGAGCGGGAACTTTGCTTTGTTGTCTTCAGCGATGCGAAATACCGAATTTGTTGCAAGAAATGCCGCACTTGCAATTCCAAACGTGACTCGTGTCATTCGATAATCATGGACTGGATCATTAGGATTTTCTCTCCATAGAAACCGATGGTAATCTCTATCGTCAATAGCTAAGCCAACTGCTCGATACATTTTCGAAACATCAGTGGTAAGGACATACGGATGTCTTCGGAAACGAATGAGAACATCGTTGAGTGGGAAATATACAGTTGGTCCGACAAGAAGCTGATCATTAAGAGAGACACCAGAAGTGGTTTTCATTGAACCATCGAAGACAACACGTAGAGGAGTTGTTGCCGAATCTTTGTAAACAGCATGGTGGGCCAAGTGAAAGGTATCCGAAGAGAGTTTGTTGAGATCATTATCGGGAACTCTTTCGGCATGACCAGAGGAAATATACTCATTCACAACATTTGTGTAATCTTGAAACTGTTCGGAGCGACGAAGACGACGTTCAATAGACAAGAAACGACGTAAGGCGAGAGGTCGTAATTCCCCCAAGGTTGATTTATGTGGTTCGAAAGGGTGGTTAACAATAAAGCGACCATTTTCTTCATGCTTGAGGTGTTGGTTGTAATGTTGTAATGCTAATTTGTCAGTCAGTGACACAGGTGCTTTAGGTTTAGGTGGATCCTCCAATGTCCAAAATTTCTGCAGAGTTTCTTCGCAACTAGGATAAGCAGTAGATACATGGAGAGTTGTGACCGATTCTGTTGTCGAACGATTAACATTGACATTGCCAAACAAGACCCAACCAAAAAGGGTTTCTTGAGCTGATGGCGTTCCTTTAGGTCCAAGAATAAGCCCTTGTTTCAAGATGTCGTGATAAGCACTTACACCAAGAAGAATATCAATTGGTTTCGATGTATTGAATGCAGGATCTGCTAACTTGAGAGAGGACAAGTGAGCCCAGTGACCTTTTGAAAAGGAAGTGGTAGGTAGACACCTGGTTAAGGACTGAAGAACAATAGCTTGCACATTTGATAGAGTAGAAGAGCTCTGAGTAGATTTCAAATTAATGTTCACAATACTGTTACTTAGGGTAGAGCACTGGGATCCTCCAATTCCGTTTATGGTGATTTCCTGTTTAGATATTCTTAGCTTAAGGTGTTGAGCTAGTCTTTCGGTGACGAAGGACGCTGTTGAAGCTGGGTCGAGTAGGGCTCGAGCTGTCATTTGTTGACCAGATGGGGAGCTTACGATGACTTCAGCTGTCATCATAAGAACATTATTCAAACTGTTTGCTTTGGGTGTCGCTATGTCGCTATGTCTTCCCTTCAGACAATTGAGGCACAGTCCCTTTTCATACACAAAGGCACGCTTCTCGGAAAGGGATTTCTCTTTGAAGGCTCGGCAATAGGCTATGCTGTGTTTCTGCCCATTGCAAGCTGAACACTTAACTTGTGTGGTAGTGGTATGGACTGATTCTGATTTGCCAAAATTCCCAGGACTGTACGACTTTGGTTTCTTGTTAAAGGGCTGAAATTTTCTTTGATTTCCAGCAAAGGAAGTTAGTTCAGTAGTTGTTGCTGTGAGGTCAAGAAATTCAAGGAATTTGGTATAGGAAGGCACATCCTTTTCTGCTTGTGTAAATTTTTGCCATTCAATCATTGTTTTGGACTCGCCCATTCTTGTCATAAACCTATCAAAGTCAAGCTTGTCTTGTGCTTTCAATGATCTTAAATGATGCTGGAAAGTGTCATGTAACTGTCTCAGTTCTGAGCTTGTGCCGTCGTTAACAGGTTTGGCATTTAGCAAAGCTCTAGCATGGGCACGATGGATAATTTGGGGGCGATCAAAACGAGCCTCGAGTTCTGCAATAGCTTCAGGGTAAGCTTCTGCTACTGCATCGATTCCTTCTATTACATCGATTCCTTCTATTGCATCTCTAGCCCTTTTAGTGACAAGAGATTTCAGAAGATACTTCATGCGAAGTTGATTATCTAATTTCTTCGAGTTATGTATTGTTGCTTGAAATTGTTGCCAATAAGACTTCCATTTAGTGGGTTCCCCATCAAATGTAGGGATATTGAGTGGAGGAAGCTTCACAGTTTTTTGTTCATTTACTTCAGAACTTTCTAGCGCTTTGACTTTATTTAACAATAAGTTAAGTTCATGCTGTTGTTGAGTGTTTTTAAATTCAAGTTCCTTATTTCTGTTTTCCTTTTCAATTTCAAGCTCTTTAGTTTGCTTCATTTGTTCACGGCGATGTTGCTTTATGAGTAGAGATAATTTCTCTTGATTTAACTTAATTTTGTCAAAATAACTAGATAAAAGATCATTCCAATTTCCACCATCTACACCATCTAAATCTGGTATAGACGAGTCAATTTCACTTGTAAAACTATCAAGAGATTTCTCACATTCAGAAATTTGATTTCTGATATCGATAAGATCTTCAATATCGCTTTCATTAGGCTTATCAGTTGCTTCTTCAATATTTGCAATTGTTTTCTCTATGTTAGTCACAATACGATTTCACTTTCGTTCTATTGTTTTCTTATCTTTGCTATCAGATTATTTTGTTTCATGTGAAACCTTGATAGATTGAGTGTTCATAAAAAATACGAGTTTAATTACAGTTTCTCTGATTCGATCGTCATGAGCATCCAGCTCTTCGTAGTCTTTTGCGATCAGTTCTTCATCCTTAGAATCGATTTGAGCGTTGGTCAATAAATATATTTCCAGCTGAAATTGATTATCTAATTCACGAAGTTCCTTTAAGTATTGTTCAGCACATACAATGTCGAATTGTGAGCTTTCGATCTTTTGCACCAGTGGTACGACTTTCTTTACAAGATTGGTGATTTTTCGCTTTGTAATGCTTCGTTTCTGTGCTAGCGTTTCACGAGATTCTTGCGACATGTTTACGTTCTACGATTTGTCTTGTTTCAAAATGAGTCAAACGACGCCATTCTTTCGCTGATTTACATCCGTCTTCGAAGGACCATAATAATAGATGCGATTGTTTACTTGTTTTTAACTGCCTAGCTAGCAGTCCTTTGTTTTACCCAAGAAAAACGAGTAACAGAGGTAAACTTATATTTTGCCTTTTCCTACAAAACATGTGTTCATAAGAGCATGCTTAATGCGCATGCGCTTGCTAAATTATGTAAATACTTTATGTAATACATAACGCGTGTCCAGTGAGTAACGATGATTTCGATACTTTTTCGATAGTATTGCCCATCACTACAAAATAAATGAATAATTAAATGTCTAGCAAGGGTTTTAGACGTCGTCCAAGCTCTGTTCACAACGGCAAAATGCATATTTTGACGTCTCGTTTCTAGCATTTCAAGCCGTGGCAGGTAGTTTTTTAGCAGAGTTGATCAACATTGCTCTAAGAGTTAAAGCTCTGTTTTACTCGTTCGAAACTATTTTAAATACAAGATAAGATTTCCATACAATCATTTATTTCAAACAGTTTCTTTAGCCGTCGTCCTGACGTCGCCGTCTTAGGGCTAATAGAGACCTTACGATTTTAGGACGGCAACCGCGACGGCGACGGCCAAAACAAACTCCTTCAAATAAATGGTAGTCGATATATTATCAATTGTATGAATTTAATACAATCTTAGAAGTTGAAGACATGGGTTTTATGGTTGTGAAGAGTTCTGCTAAACCCCGTTTGAAGTTGCACTTGTTGTGGCTTGGAATGCAGCCGTTGTATCAACACGTGAAAATATGTGATTTGGCGTTGTAAACAGAGCGAGGACAATGTCTAAATTATTCATTTATTGTAATTACTCAATTCTTCTCAATGATCTATTGTATTGGTAGCCGTTGCCGTCGCGGTTGCCGTCCTAAAATCGTAAGGTCTCTAATAGAGACTATATATATATATGTATATATATATATATATATATATATATATATATATATATATATATATATATATATATATATATATATATATATATATATATATATATATATATATATACATTATTATTGACTTATAAATCTGCTTTTGACGAGTCAGTGACAGTGGAAGAGAGCAATATATGTTGAAGCAGAGAGCAATGTTGAAGCAGAGAGCAATGTTGAGAGCAATGTTGAAGCTGAACACATTAGGGCATCTTTCAGTTCCAATCAGTTTGACAACAACCTGCACTTACAGTTCCTTACTGACGACCGCGACCCTGCAATGTCATG